TATCATGTTTGGTAAGGTGGAGGGTCAGAGACAAAGAGGAAGACACCCAACGAGATGGATTGGCTAAGTGGCAGCATCCATGGACTCAAGCGCGGCAACAGTAGTGAGGTTGGCCCAGGATCCGGCAGTGTTTCGTTCTGCTGTGCATAGGGTCGTTATGAGTCGGTACCGACTCGATGGCACCTAACAACAACAGCAAGAACAACCATCTGTGATATCAGTGGATATCCACAGATTCAGACTATAATATACTTTGACCTTGGAAAACGTTTCTAAGTTTTCAAAATTCAGCCTAGAAAAGCAAAACGCAGAGGGTCACGGATAGTACTCACTACTTTCACACTCAACATTTTATTTATCACAGCAACTGGGAGGCGGATTGGCCAAATATGACAACTGTTTGCAAAATATGCCTTCAATTTCACGCCTGCGACGGCTGCCCTCGGCCCCGAGACGCGGGACCAGCCACGTACTCAGCACTGGAGACCAGACTCGGGGGTAACTCCGCGACCCCGCTCAGCCCACGTAGGGTCAGGGGAGGATCTGAGCCTATCTTCCACCAGCAAATTCAGATTCCCAAGAGGAAAGAAGTAAATATCCCGAGTCACGAAGGACTCCAACCCCAATTAAGAGCCCAACAGATGGGGGCGGGACGCAAAAGACAGGATGACCCCACAGCCAAGCAGAGAAAGTGAATGATGGAGTTAGGGAAGGGATGAAAGGAGAAGAGGACCTGGGCCGGGAGAGCAGCAAGAAACAGTAAGCGGAGATGGCAGGCATGGGATTCCGCAAGGAAACAGACCTGAAGTTCGATCTGATCGCCGGAGTCGCAAAAAAAACAAAACTGGGCAAGCAACCTTGCAAGAGAGGAGAGACGGCACTGTAGGTGGGCAAGGCTTCGGGAAATTTCACCAATAGAGACGGCACTGTTTAGCATGCCCCTCCCATCTGCAAGGCATTCTGGATAATGTGAAAACAGCACAAAATAAACAAAACTTACTCTCAATTTTAATGTTTTGAACAATAAATTTACCTTCTTAATTCTATCTGGGTTTGGACTTTAATTAAAATTTTTTTATCATTAAAAAAACAAAAACAGAAACCAAAAACTCGGCCTATGTATAAAAGTAGAATAGGTTTTGAGCTTATATAGTTTGCACAGCCGCTTTAGTTCTCGGATGTGAGGGCGATCTGGCTGCGACATCTGTCACCCCATTGATCGCCAGGGTTGATTCGGCTGATCTGGCTGGCTAGGCGGGTGTCCCCTTCCTCCCTCACCGATCCATGTGCGTCCCTCCCGAAGCTGCGCGCTCGGTTGAAGAGGACGACCTTCCCCGATAGAGGAGAGGACCGTCCTTCGGTCAAGGGTATACGAGTAGCTGCGCTCCCCTGCTAGAACCTCCAAACAAGCTCTCAAGGTCCATTTGTAGGAGAACGTAGGGTAGTCAAGCTTCCAAGACTCCAGGCACATCCAAATGAGGCGCTGCATGTGGCAGTCTGCCTTTCTTTTGACAAGATTTTTCTGTAATTTTGTTTATATATACTGATGATGATCCAAAACCTTGCACATTGCTTTGATATAGGATGGCAAACCACAAGCGGCCAGGGAGAGGCTTTCTAAAGATGAGGCTTTCTTTCTCATACTTTGGACATATTGTCAGGAGGGACCAGAAGGATATCATGCACCAGTATGAGTTGGAATTGACTTCCCAGCACATAACCATCAGTGTATGAAACATTACTGAGCAGTTCTAAAACATAACTGAACAAATAATAGGTGAATATTAGGAAATATTAGTGTCATGTTTTGATTAAAGATACAAAAACAGAGAACACTCAAATCAAAGTTTTCTTAAACTGTAACTTTATTTGGGGACAGGAGAATTTTTCTTACATAAAATTAATTGAACACCTTAAGACAAACTATCAAAAAGCAATATTTTATCTTAAAAGGGTTTTGCTTAAGGGATTTTCTGTCCTCCTATATCCTCATTATTATGATTATTTTATAAATAAATATAGTCTCAGTTACTTGCTTGTAATCAAAATCAAGTGACTAAGCTGCTATCCCTACTGAGCTATCTGAGATCAGAAGCCTTTGTTTAGGTCGCTTTAAATTCACATTAGCTATAAGAAACTGAAAATACAGCTTCATGTGATATTGCCTCTGGTCTGTCTTCTTAATAGTTCCCATATGAAGGTCCTCATAATAAATTATATAAAAGTACAGTACATTTGGTTGACAAGTGTAAAAATCATGCTAAATCCTTCTAAAAATTAACATTTATTAAACAAATTGCTACAGAATGCTTTAAATGATATAAAACATCTTGCATGTCAAACATTTTTATACACATATTGCTTTTGGTCATACATTAAGCTGTAGCATACAACCTATATCCTTTTTTTTTTCTCTCACCCCCCAAAATGGCACAAAGCAATGGCTTAATGTTAGGGAAATGGTACTTCATGAGAAAATCTGGTGACCATTTACTCCAAGATTACCTATATTTGCACTTAAAAACATACCATTTCTTGTTTTCTTTTACATGTGTTGCTTTGATTGTATACAATTCTTGTTCATTCCAGTAGAGGGCATAGTATAATTCTATTGGATGTCTACAATCCAGGAGGCAAGAGATATGTCTAAGAAATTGTTTGAAAATCAATTTTCTTCCAACATAGATCCTATTATGTGAGCTGGGTGGGGCCTTATGTTCTCAATGGAATTTTATTACAAAATGAACAAACACTTCAAATGTAGCTTTTATTTAAATGCAGCTTTTGTACTGTGTGTGGCCTACAGACCTACCACTCTCATGGTACCTTTGGGCATGGAATGAGAGCCAACTCTCTTCATCTCCTGATAGTCTGGAAAGCTTTCTGACAAAAATGAGGTATAGCTGGAGATAGGTACAGTTAGAACTCATCATTCCTGTTGTCTTGTATTACAAACAAATATAATTCTATAGTCACTAAAAATATATGTAGCATTTTATTTTTACTTAACAGAAAAGGGTTATGATTTTCTTTTAAAATACAGCTTTGTATTCACTATATGTTCCTTCTCATTTTGGGAAAAAAAAGAGTACTTTATAAGATTTTGCTAGCTCTAGAATTTAGGTTGCTTTTTGGTTTTCTGGTTTTCTTAGCTGTGCATCTATTTCTTTGCTTTTGTATGAATAAGTGTGTTTTGCTTCCCAAGGGAATGTGTTGGCTGGTAAACAAAGGAGAGGAAATATTAAGAACAGTGAAATTTTTTTTCTGAAGTAGGGCTCTACAAAAGTATTAGAAAAACAGTTATATGGTGTGTAGTGACCCGATCAACTAAAAAACCTTAACAAAAGCTAGAGTGCCAAGAATATGGTATCTACCAGCCATTATTTTCTATAGGAGTTATTTACAATTTAAAACCAGCTTTCCAACAAGCCAAGTTTCAGATAAACTTACTTTCTATACATAATACAGAAAGGGAAAATAAATATTAGCTTATTGTAAGGGACTCATTTCTGAAACCACATTTTCTGTTGCTTTCAATAATGAGCTGAGAATATAGTAATACAGAAATGAATTCAGCTTTAAGTTGTGCTTATGTACACACAGGTATTTTCTTAAGCTCTGCTGCCGGTTTGTTAACAGGAAAATATTACCTATCAAATCCACATCTACTCTGCACTTTTCCCATGCTCTAGGGATCACAGCCGCTTAGCCAAGTATATTTTTGAACCAGATTCTCCAAAGCATAAATGGCTCCCTGGTGTTAGGTTAGGGCCCCTCTGGAAGTCATGCTAACTCATTCAGGCTGCACAACATAGTATTAATACCACAAAGCAATAAAACACCAATTTAATAGGCCAATGTTTATTTCAACCTATCATATTAACCTACAAAAACAATAATTTTATAAGGGTTCACTTGCTGTACCCTGAAACTTGGTGACCCTAAATAGTAGCTGGAGCCTTAGGAGAATGTGAGTCAATAATAACACGTTCCCTGGAGGGGATCTTTCCTCTTGCATTTTGGGCCTTCCAGGTAACCAAGCAGAAGTGGATGATAGATCTTTAGTTTTTTAGTTGTTTTGGGGTTTTTTTCTGTCTCCAAACTAGCTTTGTCGTTTTCAAAATTGTTGTAAACATTCCACTCAATGGATCAGCCTCTGCCCAACAGAATACAGCTCTTCTCACTGCTGGAAGACACTACATACATAAGAACTTCAAATGTGGCGCAGTAGACACTGATAATTATGGTAGCTGTGACTTCCCAGAGAAGCGGAACCTCAGCTATAAACTCACCTCCCCCAACATTGCCATGAGAATGTACTAGCACAGAAAATTATTCATTATTTGCTCCCCACCAGGTTTGGAGAACTGAGCTGAATACACAATCCCATCAGCTATTATATCCAACTTAGCACCATTCTCGTGTATTCTGTCAAGGATAAGAATTTAACTGAAGTGTGTTAACATTTATGTTAAGAATCTTGTGACTTGCAAAGCTTCTCATCTTACATAGCTGATTTTAAAAAAACAAAACAAAACAAAATAACCGAAGGAGAAGAAGAATGTGATGGCATTGTAGGTTTAAATTTGACTTCATTTGGATATCTCCTATCATTGCAACCATTCTGTAAATGATTTAAAACATATATACCGGCAAAGCAAATTACACACAGCAAAGCATATTATACAATAGCTAGTACTTTCAGAATAACACAAAGATGTAAAAAAAACCCAATAAAACCAATGACACTACAGGATGTCAAGGAAAACAGGTGATCAGCATTCTAGTGCTAATGCCAGTAAGAAAGCCTGATGAACCGAACGTGCCACACTGAAAATTCAACCACTTCATAAGTGTCCACAGACATTGTATAAATCATTCATAACCACAGAACCCTAAATTGTACCCTTGTTACAATACTGTATCAATTTCTTTATATTTTTTAAAATCTGTATAAAATATTATCTGGAACCCCAAAAGGAAAATCAATTAATCTTTAAAAAATCCATTACAAAGTTGGCTGTATAAAAGGTTAACATAATCCATATATACAAAATGCTGCTGTTTAAGAAAATAACGGGACCCAGTTTTAGAATAAAATAACTTTATACAAAAAAAAGAGTACTGCCTTCAAATCAACATTTTAAAAAAAGAAAGAAACTTTAAAAAGAAGATTGGAATGTTTCCATTTAGAAAATAACTATAAAGTGTTTGTGTTTCCATCATCTACATGCTTCTTGAAGGTAGAATACCACAAGGAGTCGAGGGAAAGTGTAAGCTCTCTCTCCCCTACGTTGGGTCTCACAATAGTCATCGCCGAGAGGCGTACTTGGAAGCCCAGTCCGTCCGACCGTGCACTGGCTGGGCAGCCGGGGGCCGGGGCATCAGTCCAGGAGTGCTTCGAGGCTGTGTGTGGAAGAAGGGTCGCCCAGGATGAGGTCTCACAGTCTTCAGAGAAGAATAACCTGCAAATGACAGAGAAAGGATGACTAGATTGATAGGGGATTCATACAAGCACACTGCAGGTGAATGCAGCTTGGTGACAAAAATGTCAGACAGAATATACGAGAACTTCAATAGGAGTATCTTGCCTCCCACCCAACGTCTCAGAATAGTTAATATCTGTCAATATACTATTGTTTGTTTTGATACCAATAATTAAAAAAAAAAACATTGTTTATTACATGACAACCATGTTGTCAGAGACTATATGTACATTATTTCTAATCTTCACAATAAATGTGCAAGTTTGGCATTATCCTCACTTCACAGATGAAGAAACTGAGGCCAAGGGAGGGTGGTAGTATAGTTTGGTTTAAAGCTACTCAGCTTATAAGTGTCAGAATTTGTCATAAAAAGGGGAATATTATTTCTTCAAGTGGAAGCTTCAGGAATAATCAGGAATGCAAATTTTCAACGAAAGGGAATTCTGAGGGACTTTTTCTAATAAGAAAACGAATTTCATAGATCTATCAAAAAATTCAAGCCTCAACTTGAAAATTGAAGGATTCTATGGGAAAAATGGAGTCCTGGTGTGGCGCTGTGGGTTAATGCATCAGACTGCAAAGTCGTTTCAATTGCAAGGTTGGTGGTTCAAACTCATCAGCTGCTCCTCGGAAACCCTATACAGGGTCGCTATGGGTCAGAACCAATTCGACGACACTTAACAGCAACAACATGGGCAAAATACTGAATGACGCAGGAAGCACCAAAAGAAGATGGAATGAATACACAGAGTCACTGGACCAAAAAAAACTGGCCAATGTTCAACCATTTCAGGATGAAATATATAATTAAGGATTGATGGTATTGAAGGAAGATGTCAACACTTCACTGAATGCTTTGGCAAAAAACAATATTCCAGGAATTGATGGAATATAAATTGAACTCTTTCAACAAACTGATGAAGCACTGGTGATGCTCACTCATCTGTGCCAAAAATTTGGAAGATAGCTACTTGGCCAACTGATTGGAAGAGATGCATATTCATGCCCATTCCAAAGAAAGATGATGTCACGAAATACAGAAATCATAGAATAACATTAATATCACATGCAAGTAAAATTTTGAAGGAGATCATTCAAAAACCCATACATTGATAGGGAGCTGCCAGAAATTCAAGCAGGATTCATAAGAGGATGCAAAATTAGGGACATTGGTACTGATGTCAGACGGATCTTGACTGAAAGCAGAGAATATCAGGAAGATATTTACTCATGTTTTATTGACTATACTAAGGCATTTGACTATGTGGATCATAACATATGATGGATAAAATTGCAAAGAATGGGAATTCCAGAATACTTAATCGTGCTCATGAGGAACATAAACATATACGATGAGGCAGTCATTAAAACAGAACAAAGGGAGAATGGTTTAACATCAGGAAAGATATGCACCAAGGTTGTATCCTTTCACCATGCTTATTCAATCTGAGCAAATAATCTGAGAAGGCGGACCACATGAAGAAGTATATGGTACCAGGATTGGAGGCAGACTCATTAACACCCTGCAATATGTAGGTGGCACAACCTTGTTTTCTGGAAGTACAGAGGACTTGAGATACTTACTGATGAAGATCAAAGACTACAACTTTCAGTATGGGTTGCACCTCAATGAATAGAAAAATAATAATCCTCACAACTGGACCAATAAATAACATCATGATAAACAGATAAAAGATTGAAGTTGCCCAAGACTTCACCTTGCTTGGATCCACAATGAATGCTCATGGAAGCTGCAGTCAATAAATCAAACTATGGATTGCATTAGGCATATCTGCTTCAAAAGAATTCTTTAAAGTGTTAAAGAGTAAACGTATCAGTCTGAGGACTATGGTACACTTGACCCAAACCATGGTATTTTCAGTCTCTTCATATGCATGTAAAAGGTGGACAATGAATAAAGAAGACATAGAAGAATTGATGCATTTGAATTATGGTGTTGGCAAAGAATACTGAAAGTACCATAGACTGCCAGAAGAACAAACAAATATGTCTTGGCAGAAGTATAGCCAAAATGTTCCTTATAAGTGAGGATGACAAGACTGCATTTCTCCTATTTTGGGCATGAGGTCAGCAGGGACCAGTCCCTGTAAAAGAACATGCTTGGTAAAGTAGAGAGTCAATGAAAAAGAGGAAGACTCTCCAACAAGATGGAGTAGCACAGTGGCAGCAACAATGGGCTCAAACTTAGGAACAATTGTGAGGATGATGCAGGACTGGGCAATGTTTTATTTTGTTGTTCATAGTGTTGTTATGAGTCAGAACTGATTCAACGACGCTGAACTTTTTACTTTGATATAGTTTCAGACCTACAAGAAGTTGCAAGAAAAGCACAAGCTACTCCCACAAATTCTTAATTTAGATTGATCAATTGTTTGTATGTTCCCCATTTACTTTGTAGATACGCATTTTTCTCTCATATCATTTGAAAATAAACTGGTGCCACAATACTCCCTCCCCACTTACACTTCATAGTATATTTCTGAAGAGCAAATTCATTTCCTTATATAACCACAGTGCAGCTACTAAAATTGGGAAATTTAACATTAATGTGATAATTCACCAATGTTAATCAATTGCCTCAATAGTGATTTCTTTCTGGTTCAGGATCCAATCATCCATCACATTAATTTTGGTTGTCATATCCTTTTAACTTCCTGTAATCTGGAATAATTCCTCAGGTTTCATGTTTCTTGATACTGACATTTTTGGAGTACCCAGGCTGGTTGTTTTGTAGATGATCTGTTCACTTGAGTTTGTCTGACATTTTCTCCTGGTGAGATTCAGGCTACCTGGTTTTGGCAAGAACACCAGAGAAGGGAGGCTGCATCTTAGTAGCAGACTCATGTTGTTGCATTATCTCAGCATTGGCGATGTTTGAACACCTGGTGAAGGTGATGTTCACCAGGTGTCACCACTGTAAAGCCTATTTTCCCCTTTATAATTAATAAGTGTTCCTTCTCTTTTTAAGGAGCTCTGGTAGAATATTGGTTATGAGTTGGGCTGCTAACCTAAACGTCAGCAGCTCAAAACTACCAGGTGTTCCACGGGGAAAAGATGAGGCTTTCTGCTCCAGTAAAGATTTACAGACTTGGAAACTCTATACAGGGTCACTATGAGTTGGAACTGACTTAATGGCACATAACCACCACCACTTTGTCTTTTTAAATAATTTAATTTAATTTTAACTTTGGTGGTGGTGTTAAGCATTGTTGAGTCAGTTCCAACTCATAGTAACCCTGTCTAGGGTTTCCAGGAGCAGCTGGTGGGTTTGAAATGCCGACCTTGAGGTTCAAACCTTGTGGTCCAGTGCATTTTCCTGCAACACAAATTCACCTATTTAAAGTGAACAGGGTCAATGGTTTTTTTTAGGATATATGTATTCTCTTTTGAACTACCCTGCCAATCAGTTTTGTATTCTTGGAAACTTGTCTTGTCAAGGGCACAATGGGCCCTCATTGCTAGACTCAATGGTCACTTCTTGGCCATCATTGTTTTTGGCTCCTCTGCATCAATTAATGCACGTGATCTCTCCTTCCTCCTCAAAGCACTTCACTTGGCTTTAGCACACCACTGGTCTCTCTCTCACCTACAGACTACCCTTTGCTGGCTATTTCTCATCACCCCAACCTCCTAATATTGTAGTGGTCTCAGGGCTCAGTCCTTAATCCTGCTTTCTTCTCCACCAGCACCCATCTCCTTGGTGCTCACCTCCAGACTCATATTACTGGTAATTCCCATATTCATATTTCTAGCCCAGACCACTCCTCTGAGTTCAAGAATCACATACCCAGGTGCCTAGTCAATATTTCCACTTGAATAGCTAACAGGCATCTCAAACATGCATGCCCCAAACTGAGCTCTTGATCTTTCTCCCATAGTCTTCCCTAACTCAGTTAAGGACAAGTCCATTCTATAGTTGTCATTGCACAACATGCACCAAAAATATCAGTGCCATCTAGAATCCTCCCCCCACCCCTTAGTTTTTAATATCCACTTAGACTCTGTCAGTAAATTCTGCTGATAAACTTTGATATCATTTTACCATCTCAGCTATTCTACCCTGGCCTAACCCAGTGTCATTTCTTGCCTGGTTGGTAGCAACAGCTACTTAACTGGTTTCCCTGCTTTCAACCTTGATCTCCTTTAGTCTAGTGAAAACCAGGAACCTGAGTAAGCTTGTTAAGATGGAAGTCAAATCACCTCAGTCCTCTGCTCAAAGCCCTTCAACGTCTCTCAGAGTAGATGACAAACTGCATACGATGGCCTGCTCTCAGCACCATCAGGCCTCTCGGCACCTCTGTGATCTCTTCTACCTACTTCTCTTCTCTCACCCACACCATTTGCATATCTGGCTCCTTGCTGTTCCTCAGAGCTCTCGCACTTAAGTAAAGATTTATAGTCCCAGAAACCCTATACAGGGTTACTGAGTTGGAACTGACTTGGTGGAACTGGGGGAGGAAAAAAAAAAAAAAAAAATATATATATATATATATATATATACATATATATACACACATACCCTGGTAGCATAGTGGAGTTGTGGTGTGGTATTGCAGGTAAATGCACTGGACTGCAGGTCGGTTTAAACTGCAAGATCGGCGGTTCAAGCTCACCAGCCATTTCTCAGAAACCCTATACAGGGTTGCTATGATTTGGAACTGACTTGCTGGCACTTAACAACAACAACAACAACAGCAAGAGTGGTGGATTAGGAGCTGGACTGCTAACTATAAGGTCAGTAGTTTGAATTTACCAGCTACTCCACAGGAGAAACAGAAGGCTTTCTATTCCTGTAAAGATTCATAGCCTTGGAAACTCTATACAGGGTCATTATGAGTCGGAACCAACTCAGTGACACAGTCACCACCACCACATTTATATATGTGAGAAAGATCAGGCCTTCTGCTCCTGTAAACATTTATAGCCTTGGAAATCTTACACAGAGTAGATATTGGTCTGAACCGACTCAGAGGTACCTGACAACAACATATATACATATATACATATCCAGCTTACTGTTTGTTTCTCCATTCACAATTAAAAGTGAAGTTCTACAGAGAGACGGGTTTTATCTCTCTCATTCACTATACCCAGGTCTACAACATGTCTGGTTGTTCAACAACTGTTGAGTGACTTCATGGATAATCCAAAATAGAACTTACCAGGGGAAGGATCTGGAATAGGTGCCAAGTGTACCCGCTGCAGAGCAGATCCAATTTCTTTTTTCAGAAAGGAAGGGATGTAGTTTCCAGTCAGTCCACTAGAACTTGTAGAGCCGGAACCAACTGATTTGCAAAAGCAGAAGCTCATTAGTACACAGACATGTATCTGTGATACAAACAGGGATAAAGAACAATCAAGAATTAAGTTTCTCCATTTAGCGGTGAAAGAAGGAGAAGGAAAATTGTAGTGAATTCTGAAAAAAACATTCCACCATGCCACTTTGTCAGAAGGACCAAGGGGGCCAAAGATAGTGTGACACATGTCAGCTGCAACCAAGTGAAGGTTGTTAATGCTGACTATTTTCTTCACTTAAAAATAAAAGTAGGTTTCCTTTGCTCTGACATGTTCTTTTCCCCCCTGCTCTATAATACAAAACACTAGAGTGTAGCTATTCTCTTACGGTTCAACACATTCACTATCTTGATTACATAGCTATTACAAACCGACACTAAATATTCTTGTCAGTAGATCTTCATGTATTATTTTTATAATCACTAACCTCCCAATTATTAAACTATATTAGGTAAATTTACTTTTATGGCATGTACACAGTGTGCACGCATTAATGATAGAACTATACACTATGGGTCTTTGTATTTTAGGAGGTTAACAGAATGCCTTACATATAATTGTTGTTATTGCTGTTAAGTGCCATGGAGTCAGTTCTGACTCATAATGATCTTGTAGTATTTCCAAGGGATAGCTGGTGGGTTTGAACCAGTGCTTATCCTATAGCACCATACCAGGACTCCTTACATATAGTAAATAAATCAATATATATTAGTTGGAGGAATGAATATCTACAATTTTGTTGTTGTTAAGTGCCACTCAGTCAGTTCCTACTCATAGAGACCCTATATAGAGTTCCCAGGGATTTGAACCACCAACCATGCAGTTAGCAATCCAGTTAAGATTTAAAGGCACACATGGAATAATGAAGTATCTTTATTGGTCCTTATACAGATGTAAGTTATATCTGTTAGGACAAGAGTTAATAAGAATTGCTCTGTGTCTTCACTACATGGAGTACTCTAGCCAATTGCTTCAGGCTGAGTGGGAAAAAGGGCCTGAGAGCGCCTGTATGAGGATTTGTGTTGGTCAGCTGGAGCATATTTTGCATTTTGCTGAATGAATACATAGAAAGAACAATAGGAAGTGAAGTCACATAGGCAAATTACAAATGAGGAAACACTTATAGTCAATAAACACCAGAAACGGTGTTCAACCTTATTAGTAAACAGCACATGCAAGTTTACACCACAATAAGATACCACCTCACACCCAGTTTAACACAAATTTGCAATCTCAAAAGTACCAAATGGCATCGAGGATGCAGCGTAACTCCCACACCCTGCTGGAGAGCAATTTGACAGTATCTGTAAAATTGGAGATGAGCACACCCTTTAACTGCTAGTTAGTATATCCAGAGGTACACTCACAGATGTGCACAACAACATAAAGTCCATTCAGCACTCTTTCTAAGACCAAAAATGGTAAACAACCTACTTGTTCTTCAAGAAGACGAAAAGAAATTATGAGGTAACATAAATTGTAAATAATAAACTATGATAGTCTACAGAGTATATCTGTGTGTATATATGTAACTGCTACACTTACGTATATTTATTGGAGTGAATTGACGATCCAGGATTATATTCGTAAACTTTAAATTTTAAAAGACGTAAACCATACTATGCATTTTATATATAGTTAAAAAAAACAATAAAAAGAAACATGCATGGGATAATAAACACCCACATCAGACCAGTATGTGTGGGGGCTATAAGTACATGAATATTGACATATATATCTTCTTTTTTTGTATTTCTTGAAGCAAATAAGTGCACAATGGGCAAAAGCAGGGAGACGTGAGTCTCACATGCTTACTTAGTAGATAAGGGAGTGGTGATGGTGGTGGTTATGTGCCATGGAGTCAGTTCTGACTCACAGCGACCCTGTTAAAGGATTTTCGAGGCTATAATTCTTTACAGGAGCAGAAAGCCTCATCTTTCTCCTGCAGAACCACTGGTAGTTTTGAACTGCTGACCATAAGATTAGCAGCCCAACTCGTACCCACTGTGCTACAGAGCTCCTTAGATAAGGGAGTAGGAATAGCTTTTATTAGAGGGAAAAACTTGTAGCCAACTGGTTTACTGAGCTGGGGTCAATCAACCTGGAGGTCTTATAATGAAATGTTTTCATCCATTTGAGAGAGACAAATGAAAGACCTTCCAGTCTACCTTCCAACCAGGAGGGATTTTGATGCTCTGGGTGGTGGTGTAGGGCTGGATCCCCACAAGCAGGGGAGGAGCTGGAAGGCCAACTTCTACCTTAGAAGGAGGTCCACCTCGCAGACCAGTGTCTCAGTGGTCAGACTGTAAGCTGTTGGGATTTTACCCTGGAGCTACCTGTGGAGAGACCCACAGTGGGAGTTGATTGCTGCTCGTCCAGGGCCTGCTGCTCAGAGAGAAAAGGCTCTCATGGTTCCCTACATTGTCTCACACTACTCTGTATCCATCCTGCGATATCCACATCATTTGCTTTCTCTCTCTCAAGAGTTAAGAATCATTGCTTACCTGAATTTATTTTGCTGATTACTGATACCGTCCCTGAAGATTTTCCAGACAAACCAGAACTAGACCATGAATTAGATGGAATAAAATCCTTGCCTGGATTCGGGATTATGCCATTTCTTATGTTGATTCCTAGTAGGGAACAAATGATTTGAAAATGCAAATTACATGTTTAATCTTGCACCTAACTTCAGACAGAGATGAGATTGGTGCAGAATCCAATTAGTCAGAATTTCCTGGTAAGCAACAATGAAAATAAAATCGTGAGGACGTGATGTGGCAGATGGCGGCGGGGATGTGGGAGTCCAGTACGTTGCTGTTGTTGTTAAGTGCCATTGAGTTGGTTCTGACCTATAGCAAACCTGTACAGGGTTTCCAAAGACCGGCTGGTGAGCTTGAACCGCCGACCTTGCAGTTCCAACAGCTTTGCAGTCTGGTGCATTAACCCACAGCACCATACCAGGACTCCTAGGCACTACAGAAGATGAAAATATAAGGCTTGGGCTTCAGCAACTATTTCTCTGATACTCCCACCCATTCTGAAGAGACAACCCCAAGCGTTTGCCTTCCCAAAGCAGGACCTCTGTGAATATGTGATACAAAGGAAATGATTTATCAATAATCAAAGTAACAACAAGGCATTTCTCTTACCAGGCAAATATCTCGAGTGCTTCAAGTAGTGCTGCTTGGCTGAGGATCTCAAGGTGGGCGTGTCTCGCCTCTGAGAGGAAGTCTGTGTGGGGGCACTACTTCCTGTACCCACATGTTCAGAGGGCTTCAGGTCCAAAACACTCTCAAATCTGAATCAAGACACCGTGTGTTAGTCAGAAAGAGTCAGCAAACATCACTGGGGCTGTGAAAAAATTCACCTCACAAACCGCAGGACCCCTATGCTTATACACAGCAGCACAACACTTGCCTGCTGAGAGTTTCATGGCTCTGCCTTTTCTTATTCTTTAAGTCAATCCTGCTGAGGGCTGGACTGAAATCCAAGTCATCCAAGTCAGCCCAATCATCCGACTCCTTTGTTGACCTGGAAACAAGACCCCATCTTCTCCTACTCTTTGGCTTGATTTCACCATTTTTGTGCTCCAGGTCAGCTAGGATTTTCTGTATATGTAAGTAAAAGAGGGAAAAAGAGCAACACGTGGCTAAAAGGAACTCATTCATGAGTAATCCTCATTCTGAACCTCCTGTGAGGCAAATGAGGATTGCTGTCATATTACACCCAAGATTCATTGCTTACCTGAAAGGGCAATCCTGGAAAACATCTTCCCAGCCCTTCTCTGTCCTCCTATCACAACAGCTTTTATTAGTTTGCATCCAAAGTTGTACAAAACAAAGATTTTTAAAAAAAGAAATTTAAGATACTTCTCATATACTAAGAGGGCAGATAGATTCTTATTTGGGCCTCTTACTCTCATTTCCTGAAAGAGTACATGTGATTTACACTGTCCTAAGTAGAGAGATGGGCTCCTGCTGTGGCACTATAGGATAAGCACTGGACTGCTAACCACAAGATCAGTAGTTCAAACCCACCAGCTGTTCCTCAGAAACCCTGTACAGGGTTGCTATGAGCCGGAACTGACTTGACAGCACTTAACAACACCAACAAGTAGAGAGATACGAAAATCTGCCATTTTATAAGGAACAATGCTGATAATGATTTCCTAGTCTACAGAGTAGACTATCCAGGAAGACTTGGGTATGGTCTCAGCTAGTTTCCACATTAGGAATTTTCCTAACATACCACTTCCAAGCTGTGGGCTGGGATAAAGTTTATAGTCTAGAGAGATCATCCTTGTAATCTCTTTCAGTATCGAACATTGTGCTAACTAGGTGTCAACCCTCAGTGACTACTGTCGTTGGGTACCATCGATTCCAACTCATAGTGACCCATGTGACAGAGTAAAACTGTCCCGTAGGGTTCCGTGGCTATAATCATTGAGGAAAGTGATCGCTATGTCTCTCTCCTGAGAAGCTGCTAAGAGGGTTTGAACCACTAACCTTTTGGGTAACAGCTAAGCTCTTAATCTTACTCTACCAGGACTCTTTCAGTGAATACTGTTGTTGTTGTTAAGTGCCATCGAGTCGGTTCCATCTTACAGCAACCCTGTATAGGGTTTCCACCACTGATCTGTGGCTAATGATCCAACATCTAACCCACAGCACCACCATAAAGGTGTTCAAAACAAGACTGTTCATACAGCATCACAAATGGTAATGAGAATCCTTGGCTGGGTTATCATTTTGTTGAATCTAATGAAATCCAAACTAAGAGAAGAAAGATTTGGTTTAAAAAAAGAACTGCAGTCATATATGAATAACAATCTATAAGTATTAGCATGGCATTTTATGATTTTTCAAAACATTTCACAAGCATCATGACCCTTGATCTTTATGACCAATCCCATCTGGTGGGCAAAATATGAATTATACTCTTCTTTGTACAGAGGAGGAAACTGAGTCCACAGGGATAAATAATACTGATAATGACTAACATTCATCAAGGACTAACTAGATGCCACCTACTTGTCTAAATCATTTTCTAGTACTAACTTATTTAGTCTTCAAAACAATTAGATGAGATGTTGTTGTTAAAAGTCATTGAGTTGGTTCCAACTCACAGTGACCCTGTAAAGTATTTCCGAGGAGGAGCTGGTGGGTTTGAACTGCCAACCTTGAGGTTAGCAGTCCAGTGCTGATCCTATTGTACCACACCAGGATGCCCTATATGAGACAGGTACTAACATCATCCTTACTGTACAGATGTGACAATAAGAAGCAGAAGGGCCAGGTAACATATCATCGAACTCCTAAATTGTAGAGTGGAGATCTGAAACAAACTGTCACCAACTTCAGTATACTGCTGCCAGCAGCTCTGTGGAAGGAAAACCTGGTGATCTGCTCCCATAGAGATTATTGCCAAGAAAACCCTAGGGAAGAGTTCTACTTTGTAACACGGGGTCACCATGAGTCAAAAATGAACTTGATGGTACCCAACAATAAAGCCTAGGCTCTTATCACAATTCCATATGATTACAAAGATAGATCTACTGTAAGTAAACCTTATAAGCTGAAAAAGAAAATATTCCACATAGTAAATCCCACTGCCATTGAGTCGATTCCTACTCATAGCGACCCTACATAGGTTTTCCAAGACTACATATCTTTATGAAAGCATAAAGCTTCATCGTTCTCCCAATGGTGGGTTTGAACTGTTGACCAATGCTTATCCCACAGAGCCACCAGGGTTCCTTATTTCACACAGTAGAAGTGCAGTCAAATGAGGAATCAGTCAGACGTAAAACCCACTGGTGAGTCTTCATGGCTTACCGACGGAGGGTTCTTGCTGTGGATGGATGGGAAAAGCAGCGGACTTGGCGTGTTCTCCTGGAGATGGCTCAGATGATCTGCCCGGGAGGCCTCTGCTTTGTAGGGGTACACAACATGTGCAGGGGGCTGGCTGGCTTGATGTTGTCGAGAAGAAATCCGAGGGTGTGGCTTGGTTGGAGGTTGGGGTGGAGGGACAGGTCTAATGTGGGGAGGGGGACCTGCCTTTTCCAGAAGTTCTTTCTGTGGTTTCCCTAAATTTTGTGGGTTTTGGGTGATGCTGCCCAGTGAGTGTCCAATCCGAAAGTAAGGGTATCGAAGGGCCTGGAATGAGAAAGCTGCTTTAGGAGAAAAGTTTGGAAGGTTAATACAATCAGGGTCACTGGGGTCTAGGTCACGTGAACAGTTTACTATAGCTTCTTATCCTCCCCCAAACCAAAACCCATTGTTGCTGATTTGGAATCAATTCCAACTCATGGTCACCCCATAGGTTACAGAATAGAACTGCTTCATAGGGTTTTCTTGGCTGTAATCTTTATGGAGTCCTGGGGAGGCACCATAGGATAAGCATTCCACCTCAAGGTTGATAGTTCAAACTCACAAGTCACTCCTAAGAAACCCTATACTGGGTCACTACGAGTTGGAACCAACTCAATGGCACTTAACAGCAATCTTTATGGAAATAGACTGACTAGCCTATCCTCTGTGGTATCACTGGGTGGGTCTGAACCTCCAACCATTAAGCTAGAAGTCAATTACAAAACATTTGTGCCACCCAGAGACCTTCTTTAGCAGAAAACAGTTTCATGACAAACTACTACATAGTCTTAACTCAAAGAAAATACATGTTAAAACGTTCGCCAAAGATGGATAGATACAGCAGTTTATTTTTATGTCCACACGTATGGTGATGTATCATGTGAATGGTATTTCCATTTTCAAAGCAACTATATGTGTGTTGTCTAAATCTCAACTACTTTTAACTGCACACAATATGTTTCAAGCTATTTTAAGATTGTATACTTTATATAATACACCCTCTCAGTGGAATTTGATACTATTTTTTATGCACATCACCAAATAAATTATTTTCCGGGAGACTTACAGAAATTAGAGTTTGGTACAAATTTCCTAAGAAACACATCAAGTAGAAGAAAAGAGAAGAAAACCTGACTAGCTGTTGGCCGCTTCTTGGGATCCCACTGAAGCATGTCTCTCATGAGATGAATTGCTTCACTGCTAGCATTTGGAATCAGGGTCTTTAAGTTGTTGGGAATACACTGCGGCCAACGGAAGCTCATAGCATTTGAAAGCTGATAGCCCTCAGGCCAGTCGGTCTGAAAGAAGAAAGGACACAAGCAATCACTGTGGCAGGAGTTTACGTCCAGGAGTGTGTGTCTCTATGGAGAGCAAGCTTCTGTTACTATGCCCCCATTCTCTTCTGTGGCACTGTGTGTGATCAAACAGCGGTATATACTGACAAGAGATGAAAAAGAGCATGAAGTCTGAGGAACACTGGAAAAGACCAGGAGTTTCTCACCAACTTTACACATGAGCACTCATCCCTTTGGGTTTTAGGGTTCAACCAAATTAGTGTTTTCCCAAATGTGTTCCACGAGGCAGGGCTTTTGGAAATTATGAATAGATATTTGAGGCAGGAAAGAACAAATTCCGTGTTCTTAAATCTCCATCTTAATGACCAAAAACATACATTAGCACATCAAGGTTCAAGAAGTCCTACAGTAGAGAAAGCTACTTCACCCAGCCTTAAGCTCCCCAATTTTTCATACCTCTGGGACTCTAAATGCTGGAGCAAATGGTCTCCAGGTTTTAACATTCTACTACTTTACAAGACACATCCTGATGGGATTGCATCCCTCCCACCTCAATTTCTTTAAAGCAAAGTAGTTTAGTGAATAGCAGCAACACCTCTTATTCATTCACTTAGTTATTTATGGAGTGCTTGCACTGGACTGCTAATCACAAGGTCAGCAGTTCCAACCTACCAGCCACTCTGAGGAAGAAAGGTTTACAGCCTTGGAGACCCTAGATAGAGCTGCTATGAGACAGAATTGACCCAATGGCAGTAGGATTTGCTATATGCTTAATGCTGCTGGATGTCCAAAAAGAATCCTGCCCTTAAGGATACTACTGGCTAAGAGAAAAAACAAGACATTTATTGAAAAAGTCAGAGTAGCAAGCGACAAAGAGGTATAGACACAGGTATACAGGAGAGGGAGAGAGTTCAGCAGTGGACTCCGGACATCTAGAAGGGATGGCATTACTGACCCACTAAAATGATGAAACATCTTTTGTACCAGCAATGGTGCTAGCATATAACTAAACAAAGATGAATCCTCACAATGAATGAGCGTGTGGTCCAGGAAACAGGTCTGTAGACAGATAATTGCACTAGTGACCTGGAGCATACTATGCACAGAGTAACGTGAGTTTAGGGAGGAGCTCCTCAGGTCCCACAGGATTCAGGGACACCTTCCTCAATGTGATGTAAGAGTTGAATATTGCCATGGGGGTGGCCTTCCTGTAGACTAAGGGAACAGACAAACCAGGCAAAGAGAATGGCATATGCAAAGATTCACAGGTGTAATAGGCAGAAAGTACTTAAAGGGTTGGGGGATATGGCAAGAGAGGAGGGTGGCAAGAAAGGCAGGGCCTCATACGCTATGCTACAGATTTTGGACTTCAGGTGATGAATTTCATTCATTTATTTTAAAAAGCAAATGTTTATTGAAGACTTACTATGTTCTAGATACAGGGAACAGGTAGTGAACAAAGCAGACAGGGTACCTGCCATCATGGTGCTTCTATTCTAGGGGTGGACAAATAACCACCAAATAAGTGGTGGTGGTGGTGGTGACGGTGGTTACGTGCCATCAGTTGGTGGTTATGTGGAGTCAGTTCCGACTTATGGGAACTTGTGTAGGGTTTTCTGAGGCTATAAATCTTTACAGAGGCAGAAAGTCCCATCTTTCTCCTGTGGAACTGCTGGTAGTTTCGAACTGCTGACCTTGAGATTAGCAGTCCGACTCATAAGCACTATGCTTAAGTCTATAACATAATGGGAGTCCTGATATGGGGCTGAAGGATAAGCACTGGATTGCTAACCAAAAGGCTGGCAGCTCAATCCTACCAGCCACTCCTTGGAGACCCTATACAGAGTTGCTATGAGTCAGAATCTACTCGGTAATACTTAACAACAACAGCATAATATAACGAGAGCCCTGGTGGTGTAGTGGGTAAGCATTCAGCTGCTAACCAAAAGATCTGTGGTTCAAATCTACCAGCTGTTCCTCAAGAGAGAGATGTGCAGTTTGTTTCTGTAAAGATTGTAGCCTTGGGGACCCCGTGGAGCAGTTCTACCCTGTCCTATAGGACCACCATGAGCCAGAATCGACTTGACAGCAGTAGGGTTATAGTTTAATGTCAGGCAGTAACACCAGCTATGAAGGAGAATGTTTTAGGTATGGAGGGCAGACTAGAGAGTATTAGAAGGAGGTTGGGTGACCAGTGAGGAGGCCGAAAGGAGGAGGATCAGGGAAACAGTGAGAAGGTAGATACTGAAGGCCTTTGAAGACAAGTGGGAGATACTGATGGTAGGCAGAGGGTGTATATGCAGAGGCAAGGACAATGCCAAAATTTTAGGACACATATCTACGAGGTGTGCAGGTATGCAGTCGGGGTAAGGAAGCAAAGTTAAGGCTGCTGCTAGGCAATGGGGAGTCAACAGATATTTTTAGGAGGAGAGAACAATATTAGAGCTGCTCTTTAGAAGGATCAATTAGGCCTTAGACTAAAAGATAAACAGGAGGAAAACGATTTGACGGTAGAAAGACTGCGGAATTCAAGAAGGAAGCTAGTTTGGTGGTCAACAACAACTGTTTTTCAGATGTGTTGAGTTTGAAGAGAGAATGAAGTCGGGGAAAAGCCCACAGGTAATTCTAACCAATGAATGAAGTTGTGAAATTAAGTGAGGACTACAGATTTCTTCTAGGAGACTTCTAAATGGATATAAACCTTGTAGCCATGAAGCTCTGCAGGGGAGGTGAGATGGCGTAGAGAAGCAGAGACAGCCATGACAGAACACAACATGATTAAATGCAGTAGGAAGAAGCTAATGGTGTCAGAAAGTGTGGGAGTGGAGAATTGCTGAGGCCAAAAGGAAGACTTTAGAATGAGCAGGTGATCAACAGCTCCAGTGAGTGCTACACAAAGGCTAAGGAGAGATGGGACAGAAAGCTGCTGGCTTTGTCCCATAGGCCCTCCTCCTTCATTCCACATTGTTACCTTTTTCGGTGTCCCCAGCACTTGGCAAATTTTGAATATGGTGTCAATTTCACTGGCCCCAGGGAAGAGTGGCCTCAGAGTGTACACTTCTGCCATGATGCAGCCCACGGCCCAGATGTCAATGGGGGAGCTGTAGTTGGTAGACCTTAGGAGTACTTCTGGAGCTCTATACCTGGGGTGGGGGGGAGACAAAGATTAACTGCTACTGATTGCTTCTGCTGGTCAGAAATTACAAGAACTAGTACAGTCAAGTCTCAGTGAGAGTACATACATTTCTATTTTCTATCTAGTTCAGGGTGGTTCACAGACTCAGGGAGGAATGGCATGGCTTCTGCTACAAAGGAGTACTTCTCTGTTTCCTATTGAGCATTTCCCTACAGGACTCTTACAGCTGTCTTAGAGCATCTTTGAGAAACACGCACACACGCACAGAGACAGAGAAAGAGAGAGAACACAACTTGCTCACAACATGCTCAAGTAGGCTACTTCTTGGCCATGGCAAGCTGCTTGTATCAAATTCCTAGGGCTTGAAAAAAATTTTTAAATAGCAAATTTCCACATAGGTCTATGGAAAATGTGAGCTTTAGCACAGTTTTAGGGACACTGTCCTCAGGGAGGCTTATATATAAGAAATTCTTTGTAGTATGAAAAAAAACAATGAATTGCTTTTTAAAATGAATTACAACACAAGTTTTTAACCTTATCCTGTTCTAACCTACCAGCAGGCATGTACTTCCGACTGCACTGCTTTTCCTAGTGAAAAATCACTACTATAAATCACTAGTATAAATTTAGTATTATCCTCAGTCTACTGATATATTTTTAAAAGAAATGCTATTAAATAATGGTAAGAGAAGTAGCAGTCACCATCTGGTCGATACATAGTCTGTGTATGGAGGTCTTGATCGGATTTCTCGGGCCAATCCAAAATCTGCGATTTTCACAAGCTCTGGTCCCATGCAGAGGAGGTTCTCAGGTTTTAAGTCCCGATGGAAGAAGCCTGTGGAGACAGTGGAGAAGGAAACAAAGGCAAGTTTGCTTCTGCCGGACTCTTTGCAGCCGTATCACTCTTTTCAGCGCAGGCATCATTTTATGGCATGACACAAAAGTGCTGAGTGGTCATCCCACTCAGTCTCATTCATTTCCCTTTGATGAAAAGAAACCTAAAATCGTTCACTTTTTTCCAAGAGTGAAAACTTGTTTTAAAATATCAATACTCATTAGCTGCTCTGCACAACTGAACACCTTATGGGATTTGGTTCCTAGGCTTAGAGGTTTAGGGTCACAGTTTCATAAGCCATCCCAGTTAATCGGCCATTATTAATAATGTGTTTAGCGTTTCTGTTCTACTTCCTAGTTCACTGTGTAGAGCTTGCGTCTTAAAACCTTGCAAGTGGCAATCAAGGCACAACTGGTCTCTATTCATCTGGACCGACAAAAGAAGAGGAGAGTCAAGATTAGGAGGAGGATATGGGCTGTATAGTTCATTGCTTTCAGAACTGCCTCCTATGCTATGAGGCCATGACAGCTAGGTGGCGCCTGGATATCATTACTGAACATTTGGGTCAAAGATTCCATTGAAGAAACGGTATACGATAGGATGAATGTAGAGCTAATGTTCTCCCATGTAAACTATCACATAATTCACAATAAAATATTAAAAAAAAAAAAGATTCCATTGAAGAATCTTGATCCATAGGGGTAAAAATATAGAACCGAATTTCAATTTATCACAGACTGCAGACTTTCTGGAATCCTAGAGTCTGAAGGAGCCTCTGAAACTATTGCCCTGAGACAATCTTTACATCTTAAATGAAAAATACTGACTTAGGTCTTCTTAAAACCTAACAGTAGTGTAGTTTGGTGTTGCTGCTGCTGAGTTCTGTCAAGTCTCCACTCTGAACTTGAGTAAAGTTCTATCATTTTCATGTATGTTAACCTCTCACTAATGGAATTAGATGGGATTACTTTAAGGACAGAAACCACATTTATGTTGCTTCTTTACGTCTAGGGCAGTGGCAGGTACACAGTAGTCTGAAAACAGATTCTTGTGGTTGAACAAAGGGCTTGGGATAGCTTTGTAGGAAAAATAAAGGAGCTTAATGGTGGCAAATCTGCCTGAGCCAATCTAGGCAGGGGCGACAGAGAACAGACCAGAGGCGTTGAGAGGGTAGAAAGGAGGAAGTTCAACTGAGAACTGAGAAGAACTATGACCCATAAGCAGTGGAAAAGGGGCTGGTGGTAAATAGGGCTCAGAGCTAGAAGTGCTCATTACAGAGTTCCTGAAGGTCTAAATGTATTAAGAGTATTTCCCAAACACTCTCTCCATTCTGGCAAGAGAGAAGGGTGTGGCTATACTGGAAAATGTACTAAATGTCAAGTATCACACTCTTCCTTGTTCACCTCCTCCTCCCTGTTCACCTTTAGTATTACATAAAGTTCCAAATGAAGAGTATGGCATAATGAAAGGGTCTGTAAGGTGAACCGCCTGGTTAAGGTGAACAAAGTGAATATAATTCTACAGAGCCTAGAATTCAGTGTACTTGGGAAGGGCTGAAGTTACCAAAGTGATCACAAATATTCAAGAAGGCCACAAAGGAGAAGAAAAAGTACTTCCTTCCCACTTAGGAAGCCCTTGCTTCTATTTTCTATCACCCAAAGCACAGAAAAAAGGAGTCCGGGTGACACACCAGTAACCGAAAGGTTGGTAGTTCAAATCCACTCAGCAGCTCCATGGGAAAAGACCTGGCGATCTGCTTACATAAAGACCCTGTCACATGGGGTCACTAAGAATCAGAAATGACTTGAAGGCCTCCAACAACAAGGCACAGACTAGTACAAAGGATAGACCTGGGTTAGATTACAGCACAGCTATTTTTCTTTTTCTGTCTTTCATTGGTTTTAGCAACTATGCACATATATGTTAGGGATTTAATTGTGTTCCCTAAAAACACAGTTTTGGAAAGGGGTGTCTTTTGTAATACTTATGAAACATGACATGTATAGGGTGTGTCTTAAATTAATCTCTTTTGAGATACAAACGATATTAAGCAAGCAAGAGGTAAAAAGCATAAATGTGGAAAGAGAGGCACGAAGCCACCTGAAGTTTGCTTAAGAGAGAAGAGACAAGAACCTTCCTCCAGGGATGACAGAGAGAAAGCCTTCCCCAGGAGCCGGCACTCTGAATTCAGATTTCCACAAGGTCGGCGGTTCAAACCCACCAGACGCTCCTTGGATACCCTATACAGGGTCACTATGGGTCAGAACTGACTTGATAGTACTTAACATCAACAATTACAACACACTGTGAAAAAACAAATTTCTGTTTGTTAAAGCCATCCACTTAAGATATTTCTACATTAGTAGCACTAGAAAGTCAAGATACTATGTATGTGTGTATATATACACATATATTGTTGTTATTGTTGTTAAGTGCCGTCGAGTCGATTCCGACCCATAGCGACCCTGTACAGGGTTTCCGAGGCTATATATCTTTACGGGAGCAGAAAGCTTCATCTTTCTCCTGTGGAACAGCTGGTAGTTTCGAACTACTGATCTTGCGGTTCGCAGCCCGATTTGTAACCACTACGCTACCAGAGAGCTCCATATAT